GCAGGATCCTTCCCAATTATGTAGCCTCAGTCTGTCCATCCACACAATGGGAAAAGCACAAACCTCCCGCCAGAGAACCACTGGGGATGACCTGAGACTGTGAATGCAGAACACACACCCCCTGTGTGTCGTGACCGTACAGTAACTCCCTCACAGTTTCACTGAAGAAGACTCTGCTGAAATGTGGAGTTTGACACTGCGAGTTCTTTATACAGTCATTGCAACTGCCGTGTGATTGAAGGGCAGTGCTCAGAATTTGTAACGCACTGAGAATCCTCCAAGTAGGGATACTGGAAAAATCCACATCAGATTTAACCAGGTTTGCTTTACTATGAATCAGATGTGCGGATTCTGCAGACTTGCAGGCCTGCTTTTTCACTTTTCTGGTGGGGAAATTAGCACTCATTTGCATCCAGGAGTTTACATGTGCCCAAATGCCTCCGAGCACTCAAGGCGTTGATGCAAGTGGGTGAAACACTGGTAGAAATACCCGGTTTGGTCAACGAGGGAGCGACAGATGGTAAACACTCAAGATCTGTGCAGCACAGATGGAGAAGGCCAAGCAAAAGCCACACACCCCCTCGCTGGAAAGGCCAGCTGGCAAAGTAGGTCGACCACCACAGTGCCCCCGATTGGTAGCCACCCAACCCTGCTCAGAAAACTCATAACCAGGGAAGCGCCTTCCAAGCTAGCCCTTTTCATGGCCAAACCATTTGGACCATTGGGAAGTTCTTCGCAACGCTGACTGAAAAACCCTCCTTTTCTTGTAATCTCAGCTCCTGCTTCAAGTCCTACTACCAGAGCAGCCCAACAACAAACTGGTTCCACCACCGATGCAAAAGCCCTACACATATTAGAAGGCAGCTATCACCTCTTCATTGTCTCTTCCCAGGTGGAATATATCCAACCTTTGCCTCTGAGGACTCCATCTTCAAGGTCCTGGGCCATCTTTGTCGCCCTCCTCTGGACACGTCCATCTTGCTGAGCCTTGAAAGGCGCACCTCTCGCAAATCCAGTGCCTGCCCCTCTGAAATGCCTGGAACCCTGATCTTTAGATGGGAAAGGGCCCCCTGCCAAACTTTGTACTTGGGTACCGGGCACCAAAGTACCAGTGCTTGGGAACCAGCTGGAAAGAATGCCCTGGACATGTGGGGCAAACCTTCCATAACAACACCTATGGAATTCTGTTGATTACCAATCCTTTTACCAGTAAGCCACAAACAAAGCCTTTCTCCCATGAAGCCCTATCAATAGAATTTCAAATCCTTTACTTCATAGTTCATTCACAAGGATTACTTTTTAAAATCAAAAGTTTTCCAAGGGGACAATGTTCTTTCCAAGCACAAGTAATTGAAAAGCAATCATGTGTTCTAATGTAATATGTGAGGGTTTTTTTCAATTTTCCTCCTCTGAAATACTCAAGTTGTTTTACTATTACTTTTACGATTATTGTTATTATTATTCCTGCTTTTCAACTCTGAAGGTTTCCTGAGCTATTAATTCCCATTGCTGCTGCCAGACCTACTAAGGGGAAAGAGAGTTGTAAAGATCACATACCTGGTTGCTATTCTCTTTTCTGCTTTCTAAAGAAGGCTGGAATTACATTCCCAAATTTAATCTTTGAAGAAAAGAGGATGGATAACAAGTAACTCATGAAAAAAGAAGACTGAAAAATATTGGGGGGAATCTTTCTTGATGCTCCAAGCCTTTTTGTTTCTTTTTTCTTTTCTTGCAAATTACGAAGAGGCTTGGAAAGAAAAAATTGCTCATCCAACCATCGTGTGGTTCCAACCTGTCATTGCGATACACTTGTACATATGCAGTCGATGGAACAGGAGAACAAGACTAAGATGTTATTGCATCGGAACCAGTTTTTACAGTCTTCATTTGGATTTAAAAAAATTATCCCCATTAGAAGAGAGGTAGGGGGATATTCCAGCGGAGACACCTTTAAAGATCCATAGTACCCTAATGAATGGGTCAGGTTTCCAGAGGAAACCAAAAATGCAAGAGTTGTTTGCTCAAAGCAGCCAATACAAAACAGAACTTCGTTCAGCAGCTCCCGTGCGAGAAGTTGTCTGTCCGTCTTTCCTTTTTGGTGTATTTTGGCAGAAGCATTTTATGCCCCTTTAAGAAGAAAAAAAGTCTAAATTGGGAGGAAGTCAGGCACAATTCGTTGGCTGCACAGATCCTGGCTGAAAGCTGTGATGCATTCAGTTGTTCCAACATGCGAATATGCTTGCCAAAAGAAAGGGGGTGTCCTCCTGTTTTGGGGTTTGGCAGGAGCTTTGCTGTGCGGCAGGTTGAAGGAGGGAAGGGAGATGGGTAGATCTGGGTACTGCCTGGGAATTCAGGGCACTGTTTCACTAGGCAGGAAGTGACTCTGAGAACAGCCACACAAGGAAAGATTCATCATCCTAAAAAGGAGGGGAAAAGGGGGCAACGAAATGCATAATTTTATTAACATTTCATTTCTGCGCTGCCCAAAGCTGAAGTGTTTGTTCTGGGTGGCTCGCAGTTCACAACAAGAAAAACTTGCCGGTGCTGCATTGGATGACTTGATGCACATTCTGAAATGACATTTGCGACTTGAAGAGAGAATCAGCATGGTTTACTGTTGCACTGGGATCTGGGGGCTCCGAGTTCGAGTCCCCACTCCGTCCTGAAGTTCACTGAGTGCCTTTGGGCCAGTCACTGACTCTCAGCCCAACCTCACAAGGCTGTTGTTGTAAGGACAGACTGAAGAGGTGAAGAATTCTGCCAGCCACCTTGTGTTTCCTGCAAAAGGAAAAAGGGTGGGCATAATTATGATAAATGAATATATCCCTCACACCAGAACTGGAAAGGTTGTGGCTGGGGAACTGTGTGTTAACTGTGAATGAGGACTTCGAGGCCCATCTGCCTACCTTCCTTTCTTCAGTTCGTTACTGTTAAACCAGGTTTGGGCTCAGTGCCCTCCAAAAAGGGCCTAGGTTTAGAGCCTAGGAACATCTCCATATATACCTGCCTGCCCCCTAAGGTCCAGGTTGGAGGTCCTTCTTCGGGAGCCCTCCTTGAAGATCAGAAGAGTGGCTACCCGGGGAAGGGCCTTCTCTGCAGTGGCGCCCTGGCTTTGGAAGATGCTCCCCAGAGAAGTGTGCTTGGCACCAACCCTTTATTCACCTCGGCGCCTGGCCAAAACCCTTTGATTTTTCCCGGTATCTTAAGATTTGATTGAGATTTTAATATTGGGTTTTATCAGATTTATATTTTATTGTGTTCTGCCTCTTAGTTTTGTATCACCGTCAAGGACAGGATAAAAATGCTATAAATAAATAGGCTCAGGGCTCAAGCCGGACTTGCTGGGTTCTCCAAGCAAGGACACACACCCATGTTCCCCCTTCATGGGTTTTGTATGCCTTTTCTCCAGCCCTTGCTAAATGTTCTGGCTCCAGACCTTTGGCCTTTTGGGCCTGGCCTGCCCAGCCCTGGGAGGCAGTCCCTGGGAGTTCCCAGGCTGGAAGGAGCTCAACAGCTCTGAATGAGAGGTGACCTTCCAGAGGCTGGCCACCCCCACAATGCAACACAGTGTGATCTTTGTTTGGTTTTTAATGCAGAAATTGACAGCATTTATCTGGCTCTCCTGCTACACGTCTGGCTAATTTGCAGTAAATCAGCAAGGATTCCCGACTCCCTTTTTCAGACTTAACAAAATTCTGCATCTTGTAAACCAGATGTAAAGACTTCTGCCGAAATAAACTTGTTCTGGAATTGTTCTGGAATTGTCAAGGCTCAATTATTGTTTTTGGTGCATTGAGCTAACATGGCAACCCCTTCTGGAAATATAAAGCTAAAAGCTAGGGCCATTTATGGGGGACAGGGGAGACATAGAAAAGTAATCACGTTAGCTAAGATTGGCCAATGCTTCCTTTGAAATGCTGCTTGGTACCTGAGGTTTTGGAGTCTCCCTCACACGCATGTATCCTTTAAAAATACAGTTGCTTTAATTAAAACAATATAGTGCTTCATGTTGTAATGCCCTAGGGCTTAATACAACAAACTACCACTATTGCCTGGTGCATCAGGGGTCAGTCCTGAGTTTTAATAGAGGAGCCTGGCAAATTTAAGCACTCATCACAATCCTTCATTGGATTTTTAAAATGTATCCCTGGCATCATACCTCCCATAAGCTAGACATGGCTGAGAAAAATAACGAGAATGAAAAGACTTTGCAGATCGTACTCCTTGGAGCAGGACCTTAGGGCCTAACAAACAGCTTGGGACCAGGATATCTGAAGAAATGTCTCCTTCCTTACATGCCCTCACGCCCCTTAAGATCTGTGGGAGAAGCCCTGCTCTGGAAACCCTAAGAGAGGTAAAAAAAGTCATCAACTCGGAGTAGGGCCTTCTCTGCTGTGGCACCGAGACTCTGGCATGAACTCCCCAGAGAGATACGCCTGGCGCCACGTTTATACTCTTTTCGGCACCAGGCCAAAACCTTTTTATTTAAACAGTATTTTAAAATTTAATAGTTTTTAAATTTAGTCACTCTGTTTGTTTTGTTTTGTGATGTTTTGTTCTGTTTTATTATTTATTGAAATCATTGTTTTAATTGTCTTTTTAAATATTGTAAGCCATCCTGAGATCTTGTTTAATAGGATGGCATACAAAAGCTTTAAATTAAATAAATAAATAACATTGTTCTGAAAAGAACCCCAGCGTGCATAACAGATTTTATACAACTTGTAAATTCCTTAGGTGAGAAGCGTACCATCCAAAACCGCACCGTCATGCTTAATTGCAAGCTCCTCGGGGCAGGGAAAAAAGACCAAGCTCATTCCCAGCCCTCCAAACTAGCCTTCCCATGATGCCCCGCACTACGCACCGCCTTGAGTCCATCGCGGCGAATGGAAGCGCCCTGCCGAGCGAGGGGCGGGGTCAGGGAGAAGGCGTGGCCGCGCGGTGGGCAGTGAAGACTGCATTCTCCGTGGTGCTCCGCGGCTGCAGCGCGAGGTGGCGGCGCATGCGCGCTGAGCCCCGGCGCTTCCGGCCGTCGGCTGAGGCGGCTCGCCCTCCGCCGGTAGCCGCGGCGGCAGGTGAGGACGGGCCTCTCCGGTGAAGCGACTGCGTGGGAGGGGGAGTTGCAGGAGAGGGCGGCTTGGGGGAGGCTGAGGAGTTGGGGCGGGGGCTGGGGGAGGGGAGAGAAGTTGAGGGCTGTCCTTGGGGGAGGGCGCTGGGGGGCTTGTGGCTCGAGGGAGGGGGCTGAGGAGAGAAGATGGGGAAGGGGAGAGGCTGAGGTGGGGCTGAGACGAGAGGGAGCTTGGGGGGAAGGGGGCCGAAGGGGCTTGTGGGAAACCAGGTTGAGGACGGGGGCATGGGGGGCTTGCAGACCGGATACGCACTTGTCCAGCCTTGAGCTTGCAGGAGCTGAGCAGGGCTGTCATGGTTAGGATACTCTGGGCCTTTCGTTCACAGAGGCACCGTAAGTCGGAGTTGAATGCACTGCTGCGTCCTCAGACAGTTGTATTGTCAACGATACTTGTGTTATCAAACTGCTCTCAAGCAGCTGTGTTATCCAGGATGGTCACTTGTCCTTCCAGCAGTGTAATATTAGTTGTTAGGATGTTAAAAAGGCACGGAGAATCAATTTACAGTGACCTTGTGTTAAATTCCAAGAAGATAATTGGGAAGAACATTCATGTCTATAAATATTAAAGAATTTCCCATTGCAAAGCTTATCTGTACTATTACCTCCTCCCAGAAAGAGAGCCATTTCACATTCCCAGGGTAAGAGAAGCTAAGAGAAACATTAGCTGTGTTACACCTCCATCAGTTGTCTGATCTAGACATATGTCCCCTGAAGCCTTTAAGGTGCCATAAATATGCAGGGTTTAAGTGTTCCTAAGGAAAAAAACCCAGAAGCTTTTTTGATTCTTCAGGGAAAGCCTTGAGTAAATAGCAAGTGTATTGATGAGATCCCCTGAGCATGTTGAAGTGTTTCTGGATTTTCTAGGATTAACTGAACAGTTGGTTGCACCGCAACCCTGTAGAGGAAGGGGTGTGTTGGGTGCTTGTTTCCACAGCAAAGCAAACAGACTTTTCTTTTCAAACCTTTAGATTGCAAGGTCCTCAAAGCAAGGACCTGCCTTGGATATCAGTGCTTATGTAGGTAATAGAAGAGAGGGTACCATCTTTTTTAGCTTACAGCTTGACTACCAGTAGGTCTAAATGCCCAACAAAGGTGCTTTATTTGTCTGTGTGCTGCCTATTTCTCTCAAACTGGACTTCAAACAAATGTGTTTTCAAAGAACTGGAACTGTTCTTTGTTTCAACTGGAAAGCAGCTCTAGGTCTGTGTACCACACAGCAAAATGCCAACCAGCTGTTCCACCCTCTCCTTTCAGTTCTGTTTTCATGGACGTTTTCTTTCTCCAGCTGGAGAAAGGCATGTGCGTTGTGTGTGGTCCTCACCTATCCCTCGGGGGCACAGTGCAGGCAGAAAGTCCCTGTGCCAAATCGAAGCTGAAACTTTCTGATCCCAAAAATCAATCCCAGTAAAGGATTTTGTACCATTGGTTGCATCTCTCTGCCTCTTCCCCATTTGGCCAGGTATGCAAGGACAGTTTGGCTCCTCGTTTCTCATTAGCTTTACCCTTCTGGCAGCCCTGGAGAAAGAAGCTGCCAGAAGGGTAAAGCTCTTCTGTGGAAACTCCACAGCTCTTCTGTGGAAACTCTGTGACTCACAGGGACTTTCACAGGGACTTTCTCCAGTGCTTTTCCAGGCTGGAAAAGTGCTCGCTCCTTCTCCTGAGGTCCCAGACCTTGTTGGGTAACCCTGGTTCCCGCCTGTGGCTGGTGCCTGCGACAGGTTGGGTCCTGTCAGAGGGAAGCTGAGTAGGCAGCACTGAGAGTCTGACGGTATCTCCTGATTGGATCACAGCACCTTTGGAACAGTTTCCACCAGCACACTGTCTTTGTTTGCATGACAGCTTTCAGGCTAGTCCTTAAAAGGAAGCTCCCTCCAGTATCAGAGCCAGAATGTTTATGCACGCTACATCCTGGGGAGCATGGGCAGGAAGGTGCTATGGGCATTTGGTGTGCCCCAGCATCAGGGATGTTCTTATGTTCTCAGAGCAGAAGAATGCTTGTTATTGCTTTGCTCCTTCACTCCCATTCATTCCTCCTATCCAGTTTGTCCTTCCTTTCTTGCTCCAGAACTCTTATGAGAGTATACAAAACCTCTGATTTTTGTGTCCTCTCTCTTGTGGCGTACATTGTTTTCTCTCGTGTGCACAGTGTCATTCCAAGGCTAACTTCTGATCTCCCTTTTCCACAACAGGTCAGATGGGCTGCTTTTGCACAAAATGAGCCGTGGAATTTTCAATTAGCATACCCCCAAAGCCCCTCTAGGACGAGGCTTTGCAGGCAGCATGGCCACTTCCCCAGGCAGCTCTGCAGGGCCTCTGCCAGACCCAGGAGTGGCTGTGTGGGAGTGGCAGGATGAGCTGGGCCGGTGGAGGCCGTACCGAAGCGGCGTGTGCAGCTACATCGAGCAGTCCTTCCAGGCACTCTTGGTGAAGGGGCGGCGATCGCTGGGCGCGTGGCCTGCCAATGGCAGCATCCCTTTGGGGCAAGCCGATTCCACCCTGGCCCCCTACGTCATCGACATTCAGAGCCTGACACAGTTCCGACAAGATACAGGTAAGAAGTGGTTGCGGCGGGTGTGCCTTAGCGACAGCGGCATTCTTGGTGTGAAGGACACTCTCTCGTCTGCGTACAGTCCAGGGTGTTGAATGTGAATCACGAGCCAGGAACGTCCTGCTGTGGAACTCTTTATGCCATAAGTTGTACCTGGGCGGGCTTTCTGTGCTTCGCCTCTCTGGGAGGCCTGCTCTGCTTTGCACTTGCTTCCTAGCCTGAGGTGGGGCAAGGTTCCTCATCTCAAAACAGCATCCCGAGCATGTTCCTCCCCACGAGTGAAGGACTCTTCTGCATGCAGCTCAGCTGCTCAGTGTCAGAGTTCAAGGTCAACTGCTAGGTGGGTTATTCAGTGGCCTGGGAAGGGAGTTGAATTCGAGGCAGGCGCCAGCTGCAGTGGCAGACCCATCCTTCTGAAGCGGCCTTGCCCAACGTGGCACCCTCCCAGTGTGTCAGGCTTTGGCTACCAGAATGCTCCAGCCAGTAACAGCTAATGGCAAGGCAGAGCTCTTCCACAGGGAGCCTTCCCTCAGCAACTGGTCCAAGCCACCTTGCCCCCCCCCCCCCGCCCCTCCTTGGTTGCCTTTCAACTCGACTTTGCAATTATGCGCAAAGAATTGCTCTCCATAGTGAACGGTGGCGATTTAGCACAGGGATCCTCTGTTTGTAGCAACCAGGCCTAGTTATTCTGTTGACATGTGTGGTTAGCTGGGTCAGTGTTTTTTGCACATGCCATTTCATCATAAGACATGAGGCAATTGTGGAAAACACCAAATGGAAAAGTAGCAGGCTGTGGTACAGATGAGTTCAATATCATTTACATATTATTGCATAATTATATGTAGCTTAGCTTCTATTTCTTTTCCCTGAAGGGGTGCTCTTTGCTGCTGCTAAAAGCATTTTGCAACTGCTGCAGTGTCCCAGCTGTTACGTTGTACTGAGGTATTGTGGGGCAAAACCAGCTGCCCCCGTTAAAATGTGCTGAGTAGCAAGGGAAAGCTACAGATCAGCCTTTTTCTCGGAGGTGGGCAGTGAAAAAGAGCAATATCAGAAATGCTACAAATATGTCTTCTGGGAATTGTTGGCAATTGTTGGCACAACAATGATTAAACAGGAGTGAGTCCCAATTTTTTTTTCTGCCATTGCTTATTACCACAGTTTTATTCTACTTCTCCCCCATCCCTGTTTGCAAGGTCCTAAAAGCAGCTTACACGGTCCTCCTCTTCTCCATCCCATCCTCACAATAACCCTGTGAGGTAGGCTAGGCTGAAAGCCTGTGATTAGCCCCAAACCGCCCTGCAAGCTTCAGGGCCAAGTGGAGTCCTGAGCCCTGGTCTCCCAAGTCCCAGTCCAGCACCCTCACCCTGGAATATCCCACAATGGCTTGGTGTGCTCAGTGCTGCTGTTGCCACCCCTCATTCCAAAGAACAGGCAGGCAAGAGGAGAGGCATCCCATGTGTCATGCAGTCGTCTCTTGGCCCTCGGGTTCTCTCTGCCAGCTTGCACAGTGTTACCAGTTTGCTCAGTGCGGTACATCGAAAGCCACCAGAACAGAGAGGAGATCCCTTACAGCACAGAAGGACTGCTCCCACCTGTGTGGGCAATTAGGGGCGCTGCTTCTCCTAAGGGGCACCTGCCATTCCAGAAGTGCTTATAAGCCCATGTGTGTAATACCACATTCCATTTATATCCCACCTTTTCCCCTCCTTTGCACACACCTTTCTCCCCAGCACATGGCAGCCTGATTTGTCAGGCTGTTTCTACAGCCTTCCCACACCTGGTACTCTCCAGGTGTGCTGAAGCCAGTTCCAGTGCATTCCAGCCAGGATGGCCATAGCAGTCCAACACATCTGGAGAATGCCAGGTTGGGGGAAGGCCGGTTTATGTAGCGAGCAGGTCTTGACAGCATGCCAAGGGATAGATACTATTTTTATATCCCTATCTATTTTTATTATTTTATATTTATTAAAGAACTCAGCAGAAAGTGCACTTGTAAAAGAAAAAGGCGTCTCTACTTCATATGTTGGCTCCCAGACAGACAATCTGGGCTCTTCATAGGAAACCAAGGAGAATAGCAGGAAGCCTCCCTTCCTGAGTTATCGAACATCCTCGTGGAAAGGAGCAGGATGTGCAGAGATGGGCTGCAAGGAGTTGCCATCTCAGCTGCTGGTAACTGACAGGCTATTAATTTTTTTCTAAAATATGTATCTTGCTTAGCAGCTAAGAGTTCTCAAGCCAACTTACAGTATAAATTACAAAATCTGTAAGTCAGAGCAGTGTACTAAAGTGAGGGGTTAAAACAGCACAGATGAGCAGCAGAAACTGAAAGAAGGTCCCCGGGGGGATTTTTAAAACACGCAAAAAGCAAAAGTACAGAAACAGAGAGGTGTTATCCTTCCTCTTGCTTTGTTTACTGCACATAATTCCAAGCTCAGCACTTTCTTTGCAGACAGATGGCCCCAGTTTCAATTCTTAGCAGCTCCAGTTTAAAACAGGTAGCAGGTAGTGTAAAACTCATTTTTCTGTCTGAGGCCCTGAAGCACTGCTTCCTGCCTGAGCAAGACCGTATTGGGCTAGGTCAAAACATCTGGAGGTCCAGGAGTTGCCCATCCCTGAGGGAGGTGGATGAAGAGTGTGGAACCTGCATAAAGCTGCTTCCTCTGTGGATTGCATGGTTTCCAAGGGCCACCACACGGACACACTGAGGTGAAGCATCGCTTAGTTGAAACAGGCGACACCCGCAGTTTGAGTTGGCAGCCCCGCAGCTTCTGCTTTGGGGCACCCAGTCGTATGAGGACACAGCCACCCCCACTGACTCCCTCGGTGTCCACTTGTCCTTTATTTCCCATGCTGCCATGTCCCTTTCCTCTCCACGCAGGAACCATGCGTGCGGTGCGCCGACACGTCTTCCAGCTGGATTCCGCGGCCGGGCAGGGCATTGTCTGGGAGTGGCAGAACGACGAAGGTGGCTGGTTCCCTTACGAGATGAGTGTCTGCAACTACCTGGAGCAGGCGTTCAGCTTCGGCAGCCCCCAGGTGGATCTGGGGCCCTTTGGGTACAACTACGGGATTGATTTCGTGTCCCAGACCCAGACCAACAAGACCACTGGCTATCAGCGGCGGATCAGGAGGCGTGTGGACTCGCCGTACCCGGTCGCCACCGCCCCGGGGCCGCCTCATACCGGGCCCACCTGTTCCTGCCAGCAGTGCTTGCTGAACAGTGGGACAGGCCCCATCACCTCGCGGTATCGGCACTCCATGGTGAACCTTCCCGGGCCTTCAGCCGGAACCATCCCAAGGCCCGCTGCGGGAGTGCAGGGGACCAGCAGGACAGCCGGAGTGGGGACCTCGCTCGTGGGCTTCATGCCTTACAGCAAGCCAGGCCTGTCGGGGGCACGGTCGATGCCAAGGCTAAACGCACACAGCACGGGGGCAGTGCCGCATCCTGCAGCCATGGGTGGGCCGAGCCCCATGCAGGCCGCACCCAGAGGAGCCAGGTACGCTGCCTGGGGTGTTTCGAACTTGCTTAGGGTGGGTGCGGGTGTCCCATCTAACGGACAGGCCTGCTTCTTGCTCGGCTCCTTGAATGAACACCTGCTTCTTTATGTTGCTGAAAAGAGAGCCGGGCCCTTTCTTCAGGCGTACAAGTGCAGCAATCGGGGCATGAGAGGAAGGGGAGGGTGGGGGGGGGTGAAGAGAAGCCTGCGGGGAGCCAGTCAGTTCGCCAAGGCCCAGAGCAAGATGAGGAAGGCCAGGGGCAGGCGACTCGTGGTCTTCCGGATGTTTCGTCCTACAGGTCCCATCATTTCTCACCAGTGGACCCTCTGGCTGGGGTTGCAGGCAGTTGCAGGCAGAAGCTTCTGAGAGGCCCACCCCTGCACCATCTGCAGGCATGTGGGATGTGGCTGTTTTCCCCTTCTTGGCCGCATAGCAGTTGGTGGCTGTTGTTCCTTCAGCCAGTGGGGGCCGCCCAGGGGGTCTCTCCCCTCGCTTCTGCAGTCCCAGGGCAATGGGCAGTTGGAGCCAGGCGCTCTTTTCGTCAGCAGGAGATGACGAGAGCTCCCTGCAGCTGTTCCTTCTCTGCCTGATGGACAGGGCCAGGCTGTTCTTCCTGGGAAGACGGGGGCACACCCTCCGCCTGGCTTCTGCCTCTCTGGCTGGTGGTGAAGGCCGGAGCGGCTGGCTTTCAGCTCCACAGTCCCTGAGCAGCTGTTCATGAAACAAACAAGTGCTCTGAAGGTTTCACATGTGTTGTTTCTATAACCTTTAAAATGCCCAGGGGGAGCACATGCAGAGGTTTCTAAATGATGAAGGGTGTGGGGTCAGCGTGCGAGAAAGAAAGCTTTTCTCCCTCTTTCGTAAAATGCCAGAGCTCTGTGTCAGCCCACGAGGCTGACTGACAAGTTGGCCCACAACATGACGAAGGTATTCACTCGCCTAGTGCATAATTTAATTTATGGGATTCACTGCCAGAGGGTGTGGGAGTTGGCAGCTACCTTTAGTGGCTTTAAAAAAGAAGGGAGTGCATATTTATGGTGGATAGGTTTATCATTAGCCAGCGCCACAAAACGATCCTCCATATGCATGGGCAGTATGCCTCGGATTGCTAGGGGAAGTTGAAGGCAAGAGAAGAGACTTTTGGTAATGAGGATGGTATAGAAAAGCTATAAATAAAATAAGGAAGACCAAATAAGGGATGGTCGGCCTTTATCACGGAGGTCGCAGGCTTGAATTTAGAACAGCTAACCAGGGATGTTGTGTATAGGACATTTTGGAGGGCTTCCATTCCAGTGTTTTCACCCTAAACTGGAGATGACGTGACATCACAGAACCACAGCAAATACCTCTGATTGGCAGAGGGTGGTCTGGCTGTTCATGGCTGAACCAGACGGGCTCCTCAGCCAAATCTAGGAGGCAGGTCTTAGAGTTACCAGCATCCCTGTGAGGCCGGTCCATAGTCTCCCCCTCGCCTGGCTGTTTTTGGGATGGGGTTGAGGCTGGCGGTTGACCAGCTCACTCAAGTGAATTTGAACTGCTGAGACTGCCAGTCTCTGAGTCTCAGGGAAAGCAACCAGCAGAGCTTTGTGTGCTATGGCCACACCTCTGCAGTGCATCAGGTTGCTACTTGCAATATAATGCGCCAGACCGATTTAAATAGGTCCCAGTTCAAAGGACCTTCCTTCGAAAGGGCTTTAGGGAGCAGGGCTGGGAAAGAGGCCCTGGAGATGCGGCCCTGCATCCGATGGACTACTCGCCTGATTTAGTAATAAGCTGCTTTGTGTGTGATATGAGAGGAAGGGCTGTGCTGATTAGCTCAATGTCTCCCTCATGCAGAGGATCCCAGGGCCTAACCCCGCACCTCCAGCTGAACCACACGCCATCAACAGTTGATGGGTTAGGCCCACCCTGGAGAGCTGTTGGCCCCCAGTGGCAGGTGGGCAACCTTTTTGGCTTGTGGGTGCATTTCACAATTGGATACACCTGCCCGGGGCACCCACAGAAAATGGCTACCGTGCAAGATGTGGCTCGACACAAAGGGCTAATCACAGGCAACCCACCCAAAAGGCGGGTGACGCAGCCCTTCATTTCAGCACCCTTTTAATTACTGCTCAGGATTATGAATGGCATCCGGTCTTTGACAGGGATGCTAGTGCTGGGGAGCAAGGCAGATGCTTAACCTGTGGAAAGGACTGTTTCAACGCCAGGAGACAGCCCTGGGCCTCCTTCCTTTTTCCCTTCCCATAATAGCCTCCAGTTGGACGTGTGTAATTATTTCTGTCTGGGCTTTTGCATACTTGAAGCTCACAAAATCTTAATATACATGATTAGATGAAATCTGAGCTGCTGGCCAGCATTATCCTGCTCTTGAGTTCTGTTGTTCATTCAACCACTGCCTTTTCTGCCCCCACACCCCAAATTAGAAAAATTCTTACTGTACTTCCCAGCTGGCCAGGAAATCTTTCTTTCTTGTTTGTGGCACATATTGACTGCATTTAGAAATCCTTGATGCCCTGTTGCACAAGGGTTGGTATACAGTGCAAATCCCCTTGTTAAGTTGCGGGTGGTTATTTTTATCTGATGGTATTGTCTGATCCATCATGGCTCTTCTCAAGTTCTTACAAGACCGAGCATTACTGATTTAAGCTGGGAACTGTTTGGGTGTTCTTAGCAAGATTTATATATCTGGGACTGAAGTCTGCATTTGTGGAACTGTGCTCATAATTCAACTCTGAAAAAGAGTCTTGCCTGAACTGAGAACGCCCTCTAACAGTGGAGGGGCTGCTGGGGAAGTGGGAAGGTGGCAGCGTCAGCAGAGTTTCTGTACAGCCTCCCATACAAGCGCATAGTGCTTCACCCCATAATGGTGGCCAGAACGTGATTTTAAATCAGTAGATGTGTGCGCATTTATGTGCAATTTGCATTATTTATGCACATGGAAGGATAATGCTTTTCCTGGAGCAAAGCTTGGATTGCCTGGATGCACACACCTTTTTCCGAAGGGGAGAGTGTCACAGCCCTCAGTATATCCGGCCCCTCATTATTCCCTGGGGTGGTTCCCATTGCCAGGTTTGGTAACATTTTTCTTTTGCCTCTTCAGCATACCGAAGCTACCGGTGAGCATGACAAGACCCAGCAAAGTGACCCAAGCTCTGGCAGGTAAGGCGGCCCCTCTGGTTCCTGGGCATTCCATGCGACACTGGCACGCATTCCCAGCTGGGCAGCCCCTGGGCCCTGTTCTGGCCTGCAAACAATCGGCCAGTTGGCCTGCTTGTTCCCTCCTGGGGGTAAGATGTTCCCCACTTCCACTTCAAAGAAGATCGCCTTCCTGAGGGCCACTGAATTTCCAGCAGCTGCCTTCTCATAGGCAGGTATTATCATAGGCTGCCCTTTATGGGCAGAAGACTAGGCTGGCTGCTCTGGCTGGCAGTCGCATCCCAGGGATTCAGGCAGAGAGGTTTCCTCTCACTCGCTACCTGGTCCCCCCCTCTTTTTTTAACAGGAGGGGCAAAACAGGTGCCCTGTACTGTAGTCTTCAAGCAGCTATTCCTCCCCATAAATAAAGGAAGCAGTGCATTCCATGAGTGTGGTGTTTTGCACAAAGATAGAATTTGCTAGCCCTCCAGGTGTTGATGGATTACAGCTCCCTACACCCCTGGCTAGGGCTTATGGAGTCCAATGGCATTTGGAGAGCACCAGGTTAACCTGGATCAGCATATTTTACAGGCAAGTGTTACGTGTGTCAGAGAGGTGGCCGCAGAGCACATGGTTCTAGTCCCTGGCCCTGCCAGGGTTTCAGATCCCCCGGATCTGTTCTCCTACAGACTGGTTGGTCAGATGTGAAAGCAGTGGTGGGCCGTGATAAAGGAAGTATGTTTGCAGCACTCAGCAAACCCTTCTGCGCTACTCAGCTCGTTTCTCCTCTTGCCATGAACATTCCCCCTTCATGTCCAGCAAGGGTGCTCAAACCGTCTCATGGGCAGTCAGCAGCCTCCTTCAAAGCTTCTCCTAGTCGCTGTGGATTTCATGTGGGTTGCACTTTCCCCGGGGCTGGCCTGGAGGGAGCCAGCCATCACTGGGCGCAACTCACTGGTGTGTTTTTTCACATTTTTTAAGAATTGGTGTTGCTGGGCATTGTCCTCTGCTTTTCTTGCTCGTGTGGTAGCTTGCTACTACAGAGCAAGCCGGCGTGGCAGGGTTCGGTCCCTTTGCCCCTTCCCACACTGTTCTTGCTGTCTGAATATCGATAACGACCTCTCTTTTTGCAGATTGATAAGTTGCAAAGCTATATTTACAAGGAATTGGTCATCATCTTAGGTTTAATGCCTTGGATCTCTGGAGGAGGCCCGGAGAGGTCCAAGACACCCCATCTCACTACTGTAGTATGGAGGTGCCACTGTGAAAGGATCCCCCCCCAAAAAAAATAGACTTGCTGTGCTGTCCATCTCTTTTCATTCCTCCCCACCTGAAAAAAGCAGCATGAAATGTGCAGGACCCTGACGCACTGGACTTTTCTCCCCACTAATGCGGCTCCACTTTGATTGGCCTTCTCCTTCAGATGTTTTGGGCTTCATCTCCTATTAACCTTCATCAGCACGGCCAGTAGTACTCAACCTTTGGGGCGTTTTCAGAAGTAGGTGGTTGTTCTGAGCCATGGATGGCGTGAAAGACCAAATGGAGACCAAAGGCCCAGGGCAGGTAACAGGTGTAGCCATCAGCAGCCCAGGAATCTTAGCTCCCATCGTTTTTAAAGGGAGAATGTTTATAGTCCACATGGTCGTTGGGAGATCCTTGTGGGCAAAGCTTAGCGAGAAAAATCAAAAACAAGGTTTCCAGGTATTGCAGGAAGGTCTGTGTGTTTGCTAGGCAAAATAGTAAATAAAGCAAAACAGGTGGCGCAGAGTCGCTCAGTTTGCTTGTATTTTGCTTGCAAAATCCAGCCTTCCATGGAGCAGCATCTGGGCTGTCTGGCCACAGATGGCCACTTCTAACGAAGTTGGAGCTCCACTGGATTGTAGGCCGCCAGTGCTAGCGATAAGCTTGATGTTCGTATGTGAATGAGCTGCGGCAGCTCAGAGGCACAGCAAAGAGCAGCCCTTGGGTTGGGCTGAAGCTGCAGTTGTTTCCAGCTGCCAGGCTAGCACACTTTGAAGATGCAGATAGGGAAAGACTGATGGAGAGCATTCATGTCCCTCTGAGGTGTCACACCAGCTGGTCACTAGCTTCACATCAAGGTGCAATGAAAACGCAAGTACATTGAGCTATGAAGCACCCATGTGGAGAGATGCACCAGGCCGGGAGAAAATAAATAAAACAGAAACCTTGAAAATGCTCTTTTCCCACACAGACGCTTTCTGTCCATGGGAAAAAAGCATATTTCTGAAAAAAAAATGTGAGAGTGTTTTCCCTATCTCTCCCCCGCCCCATCTAGGTGGAAGTTGTGAGTTCTGGGTGCAAAGGCCTTCTGAGCAAGCGGGAAATTGGAAGCTGTTGGGATGTCTCATGCTCAGGAGCTTCTCCCAGGACAGGCCCTTCAAAACTTCCTTAAAAAGAAAAGGGAACTCCCAAGGATAGCTGAAACAATGAGAAATTTCCCTTTTCCAGCTTGACACGTGCCACCTAACCTAGCCATCTCCTCCTTGACATGCTAGATTTCTGTATGCATGGACTTCACTTATGGGGAAACATGCAGCCACACACACCCTGCACCTGCAGTCTGAAAAACAGCCCAGCCTGGACACATGGTGGCAGCTGCCTGAGACATCAGCTAGGCCACGGTGGTTGTCCTGGCACCGGAAAATCACTCCCCACATGCCCGTTCTCAGTACTGTCTCTGCCACCTCCTTTCCTCCAGGAAGGGTTGCCAACTTTCCCCCTTCTCTCCCCTTTCCACCTCTCCAAGCATGTGCGCACACGCCCCCTTTCCCAGACTCCGTCTCTGGCCTCTTCTGTCCTGGTTGGCCACATGGGAAGGGCCCATACACTCTCAAGGGTCCTTTTCACCCTTGCAGCCAGAGCACAGGAGATGCTGCGGGCCCCGAGCCTCCCGGTCCTTGGGCCCCTCAGGCAAGCCAGTGGTAGCCATGAAGAGGGCAGGGCTGAGAAGCGAGAGTGGGTGCTGGCGGCGGCACTGAGACGACAGACTCGCTGGGGTGGCTGCCACGGAGGCTGTTTGCGGGAGTGCCCTCCGGCACAGGTCCAGCACTGGCAGCCAGGCACATGTGGCAGGGCAGGCCGTCCGTCGTGCATTCATGAGGAAGCGACAAGGAGCTGCCCAAGCCATGGAGCACGTGTCTCAGTCCCATTAAACCTGATCCAGCGCCCCCTTCCCCAGACTCCTGAGGGTGCTGCAGGCCTTGCCCACATGCTTTTCGGGTCCCTGAGGGCTGGAGGCTTCTCAAAGGGAAGCTTAGATCCTCGAGAAGCTGGGTTCTGTGCCGGTTGCCGAACTTGGTGCAACAATGAAGGGCATGCCTGGGACAATGCAGATGGCAGGAACAAGGCAGTGCCACGAGTGCAGCCTTGCTCCCTTGCAAAGCGAGAGAAAGGAGGCATCAGATGCACATGTGAAGCCGCTCCCTCAGCACGCCTTTCATCTGCACTACCCCTTTCCTGTGTCTTGCAGCCTGCCTGCGCCCCCACACCCTTCTGGCACACTCTCTTACCCATGGCTTGTGTGTGAATAATGAGCCATTGTGCGCAACATGTAATGTGGCCAAAAATGCGTCGCCAAATTTCCCCCTGTGGCAGTTTTCCAATTCTGTCCTGGGGGTGGGGTTCCTTGGAAGTGTTTCCAGAGTTCTTCAAGGAGAAAATTAATAATGCTGGACAGAGTTTCTGCAGACACAGCTAGCTGACGTGCTGCCCTTCGGGAGCGTTTGGTGTGTTCAGGGTCAACATGGGTCAACATGGGTGTGCTGAAGCCAAGCAGGGGTGCCTTGTGCAGGGAACTGTGTGGGCCCATCCCTGGCTCTGCAGAGCAGCAGCTGGCAACATTGAGAGGGCATCTTCTCCCAGAACAGCCTGCTCAGTCAGTGAGGGCATCGGATGTACTGCTGTTAGTTCCACCCAGACCTTTGCTCGTATTTGGAGCCTGCTAGGAGTAGCGCGACGCTGTTTTCAGTGCCTGCTGAAAACAGTCTTAGTTAAACAAGCGCTCCCTAACAGCCAAACCACAGTTTCAGATGGGATGATCTGATTTTAGATATCTAAGGGTGCCTTTGTACACATGCTTTACACAGAAAAAGTCCTCCACTTCCCAGCATGCCCAGCTGTGGAATGCGAGGAGCAGTAGGCCTCGTTTTCTTTTCAAGGATGCATAAGTATACTTCAAGAGCTAGAGTGGCGTTGTGGTGAAGAGCCTGGGACCAGGACTCGGAGGATCTGGGCTCAAGTCCCCACTCAGCCATGGAGCCCACTGGGTGACTTTGGGCCAGTCACAGCCTCTCAGCCCAGCCTACCTCACAGGGTTGTTGTTGTGGGGATAAGATGGAGGAGGAGAGATGATGCAAGCTGCCTTGAGCCCTTTGTCGGAAAAAGGCAGGATATAAATCGCAATATAAATATAAAATAAGATTGTGACCTTCATTTTGTACTTTGGTTTTTTTTCTACCCCCTTTTTCTTGCCCACTGCCCGAGAATCTTGTCAGACATATTAATTCTCCAAATAGAAAATACATGAGAACTGCATTTTTGCACCTTGGCCCTGCAAGCACTCAGCTCCCCAGAACAGGTCCAGAATCCTCTTTGGCCCACGGGGAACTGTACCAAGTGCTTGGATGCTTTTCAGCCACCACAGTTCAGCAGGAACTCTTGCATGCATGGTAGGCTGCTATAGCTGGTGCTTTGGTTTTGGCCACATTACACATTGGCTTAGTTTACGTGATCAGGAAGCATCTATCTCAGTTCTTCCTCTGAAACCGTGGTGCAATTTCGGTTTGTTCTAGCAAACTGTGGTTAGAGCAAGCCAACTCTCCACCCTTGGCTGGGACCTGGAGCTCTGCTTCTCACGCACAAGTAGAAACTCCTGCTCTTCTCTTCCTGAAATACGCGGGAGGAGGAAGGGTGTGTGCATGCGCTTCTCTGACCCCAGAATGGTAGTCTGAACTGAGCCAGCTGTGGGCATCCCTGCTGTGTGGCCCAGCGCCCTCTGTCTTCCTCAAATGCCATCCCTTTGGAAAAAGGGATGGAAGGCGTTTTCCATCCCCAGATGACGATTTCCTTTCCCTTCGCGTGTGCTTTGTGACCTTTCCTTTTTTTGCGGGGCGGGGGCATTGAATCATGTCTTTGAATCAAGGTTTTGGTGGGTTTTATTTTCTCACAAATGATTTCTTTCCGCCCATCCTACCCTCTCCCCTCACTCCTTGCGTAATAATCTCATGTCCCATGTAGGCATGATGGCCTTTCTGATGTCCGTCCCTGGATTTCCTGTGTGCCTCACCCAGGCACCTCCGCCTGCCAGAGCCCGTAGAGCCTCTAAAAAGCTCTATTCAGTTAAGGAGGGGAGGAAAGTGCTCACCAAAGGTAGCTGATTTCCTTGGATGCCTCCCGCTACTGCCTTTCCCTCCTCTTCCTCTTCTGTGTTTGCCTGCCTGTCCGCCCGCCCTCCTGCTTTCCTTCCTCCTCTCCTTCTGTTCTTCCGGCTTCTCTGGAAAAGGTTCTCCTGGATGGCTTTGGGTGCGTGTCACACGAAGGAATGGCCTGCTGTTTGCTGCAAGCACACTCTGCCCACCTGTGGCTCATTTACAGACCTGACGCCTCTGCATGTCTGTCTGCCACAGCTCCTCTGAAGGTCACCCGCATGCGTGGATGGAGAAGCCAGTTCTTGCAGGTCCTTTCATGCTAGAGGGGGGAGCGCCATTCGTATGCAGCGCATTAAGTCCACACTGGGTCGCTGGCTTAGCAGCGATGCTGAAGTTACTTCAGGTTTTTAAACTCTTGCATTCAACACCAGAGTTTTCAGCACCACGAAGACTGCCTTGCTCAACTTCATGCCTGCCATGTGTGGGCTGAGGCATGCTGGGAGACGATGCCTGACACACCTGGAGGGTGCCAGGTTGGGGAAGGCAATCCTATGGTTATGACTTGATTTAACTGGAATGCTCTGCTAAGTGGACAAACCCCTGTTCATCTTTCCTGGCAACCTCTATGCTCAGGCAGGCTCAGGTAGGATTAGGTAAAATGACTTTAGCTCTTAAAGGTGCAGGTATTGCACTTGTTAATGATGATCCAATCTCCCAAGTGCATGTAGGAATCAGAATATTAGCCTGCAAAGTTTTCTGCATTTTCGTTCCATTTTTCAGACCCTCGTCGTCCCCGCAGAGCAGCTCCTATCCCTTAAAAAGTGAGGGAAAGGCCATCAGATACAGAACCTAAAAAGACAAGACACCTGTGCAAGGCGAGAGGAGGGGAAAGGTGGGGGCAGGAGGGCGTGGCTCTCGGGGCCTGTACCTCGCTCTTCTCCTTGGGCCAGGCTGAGCTTTCCCTTGCTGGTGTTCTTGCATGAGGGGCTCTCGTTTCTTTGGCTGGTGAAGGGGGTGCAAAACACTTTCTCCTTCCCCCAGCGGGGCAGCTCTCGGTTGGAGCGGGCCTCACGCAGCTGCCTTTTCCCTGGCTGAAGGGCGGGCCTGACACGGGCTGCCTCCCAGCAGTCCCGGGTCCTCCAGCTGATGCCGAAAGCCAGAATTTGTACAGGTGGCTTTTCAGGCGGTGTGGAGGCTCTTCTGTTTGTGGGGTGGCTGCTCCAAGTGTGCTTGGGAAGAGGGACAACTCGCTTGCTGCATCTCCTCTCACTTTCCCGGCCATGATTGTCTTGCACAGCAGCTGACAGCCATAAAAAGGGGCAGGCTGTGCTGTGGGGCTTATCAGCCAAAATGACAAGGCATGGGGGGAAGAGGGTGCAAGGAAAAGGAAGCAGGGGAGAGACCAGCTCTTCAGGCAAGAAGGAGGCGGCACACTCAAAGCGGCCCTCCAGATGAGATGTGGGCCAATCTGACCCACCCTTCTGGGTGTTCTTGAATAGCAGTGGGTGGCTCTCTGGCTGGCGGATGCTTCCCCTTTCCTTCCGCAGCCCCTGCTGATCAGCCGTCAGTAGGAGTGGAGCTTTCTTTATGGCAGGGAAGAGGAAATGCGCTCGCGGCAGCTGCTCCCTCCTCGTCTGATGGATGGGGCTCAAAGAGGCAAACCTGCAGCCACCTTCGGTCCCCGGCCCAAGGCAGGGGAGGTGCTTCCCTTCTGCTGTCCAGCCCCAGGGCAGCTTTCACTTACTTTGTTGTTGTTAGTGGCAAAGTCGTGTCTGACCCATCGCAACCCCATGGACAACATTCCTCCATGCTCTCCTGTCCTCCACCATCCCCTGGAGTCCACCCAAGCCCACACCCACTGCCCCAGTGACTCCATCCAGCCACCTCATCCTCTGCTGTCCCCTTCTCCTTTTGCCCTCAATGGTTCCCAGCAACGGGCTCTTCTCCAGGGAGTCCTTCCTTCTCATTAGGTGCCCATTAGTTGAGTTTCATCTTCAGGATCTGGCCTTCTAAAGAGCAGTCAGGGCTGATCTCCTCTAGGACTGACCAGTTTGATCGCCTTGCGGTCCAGGGGACTCGCAGGAGTCTCCTCCAGCACCGCAATTCAAAGGCCTCAATCCTTCGGCGCTCAGCCTTCCTTATGGTCCAGCTTTCACAGCCATACACTGCAACTGGGAAAATCATAGCCTTGACTATATGCACTTTTGTTGGCAGGGTGATGTCTCTGCTTTTTAGTATGCTGTCTAGATTTGCCATAGCTTTCCTCCCCAGGAGCAAGCGTCTTTTAATTTCTTGGCTGCAGTCCCCATCTGTGGTGATCTTGGAGCCCAGGAAAATAAAATCTGTCACTACCTCCATTTCTTCCCTGTCTATTTGCCAGGAAGTGAGAGGACCAGATGCCATGATCTTAGTTTTCTTAATGTTGAGTTTCAAGCCAACTTTTGTGCTCTCCGCCTTCACACGCATCAAGAGGCTCTTTAGTTCTTCACTTTCTGCCATGAGAATGGTATCATCTGCATATCTGAGGTTGTTGCTATTTCTCCCAGCAATCTTAATTCCAACTGGTGATTCATCTAGCCCTGCCTTTCTCTTGATGTGCTCTGCATATAAGTTAAATAGGCAGGGCGACAGTATACAGCCTTGCCGAACTCCTTTCCCAATTTTGAACCAATCAGTGGTTCCGTGTCCAGTTCTCACTGTTGCTTCTTGACCCACGTACAGATTTCTCAAGAGACAAATAAGGTGGTCTGGTACTTCCATCTCATTAAGGACTTGCCACAATATGTTGCGATCCACACAATCAAAGGTTTTAGCATAGTCAATGAAGCAGAAGTAGATGTTTTTCTGGAACTCTCTAGCTTTCTCCATGATCCGGCTTATGTTGGCAATTTGATCTCTAGTTCCTCTGCTTCTTCGAAATCCTGCCTGTACTTCTGGTAGTTCTCGGTCCACATACTGCCGGAGCCTAGCTTGTAGGATTTTGAGCATAACTTTGCTAGCATGTGAAATGAGTGCAATGGTGCGGTAGTTTGAACACTCTTTGGCATTGCCCTTCTTTGGGATCGGAATGTAAACTGACCTTTTCCAATCCTGTAGCCACTGCTGAGTTTTCCAAATTTGCTGGCATATTGAGTGTAGCACTTTTACTCCATCATCTTTTAGGATTTTGAATAGCTCAACTGGAATACTGTCGCCTCCACTAGCTTTGTTGTTGCTCAGACTTCCTAAGGCCCATTTCACATTCCAGGATGTCTGGCTCGAGGTCAGTGACCACCCCATCGTGGTTATCAGCTCTTTCTTGTATAGTTCTTCTGTGTAATCGTGCCACCTCTTCTTAGTCTCTTCTGCCTCTGTTAGGTCCCTGCCATTTTGGTCCTTTATCATGCCCATCTTTGCATGAAATGTTCCCTTCATATCTCCAGTTTTCTTGAAGTGATCTCTGGTCCTCCCTATTGTTTTCTTCTATTTCTTTGCACTGTTCATTTAAGAAGGCATTCTTATCTCTTCTAGCTATAATCTGGAATTCTACATTCAATTGTTTGTCTCTTTCTCTTTCTCCCTTGCCTTTCGCTTCCCTTCTTTCCTCAGCTATTTGTAAAGCTTCCTCAGACAGCCATTTTGCTATCTTGCATTTCTTTTTCTTTGGGATGGTTTTAATTGCTGCCTCTTGTACAGTGTTGCAAACCTCCATCCATAGTTCTTCAGGCACTCTGTCTATCAGATCTAATTCCTTAAATCTATTTGTCACCTCTACTGTATATTCATCAGGGATATGATTAGGGTCATACCTGAGTGGTCTAGTGCTTTTCCCTACTTTCTTCAACTTAAGCCTAAATTTTGCAACAAGAAGCTCATGCTCTGAGCCACAGTCAGCTCCTGGTCTAGTTTTTACTGACTGTATAGAGCTTCTCCATCTTTGGCTGCAGAGCACATAGTCAGTCTGATTTCTGTGTTGAGCGTCTGGTGATGTCCATGTGTAGAGTCGTCTCTTGGGTTGTTGGAAAAGAGTGTTTGCTATGACCATCGTATTCTCTTGACAAAATTCTACCAGCCTGTGCCCC